TCTAGATACTTGTGGGCAGTTACTGCTGCTCGGAAATCCCTCCTCCGGCACTTCCCCAACCAATGGGAACTCTCCGGGAATCCCTGTGAGAACTCCAAAGTAGTAGGCTGAGGTGGACATCATGGGTCTAATATTACAATTGAATACACAGCTTAACATAACTATTATCATCTCAATGGCTTGCTGGCGTCACCACGTCACCTCTCAACTACTCAGTTCTGACAAAAATGCCATGAGTCGTTCCGACTTGGCTATGGCCCTCAGCAGTGGGGCACATCTCATGAAAATTGAAGGGAGATCAGTAGAGGAAGGGGAGCAGGGGGAGGATGGAGGTGAGGGAAAGGAGAAGTACTGGGCAATGATAATGGCCAAATTATATCATTATATCATGATCATGTAACAAGAAGTCATTGGTGTATAATTATAATACACCAATAAAAATATGGGAAAAATAAATAAAAAAGGCAAAAAAGAAACTGTCACTCAACCAAGAAACATAAAAAATAATTAAACTCCAAAATTAAAAATGAGGTACTACTTCATTAGTAAAAAACTAAAAAATGGTAAGATTTAGAGTGGCAACAATGTGTGTACATGGGGGAAGTATCCTTATATCTTATTGGTGAGAATGTAAATTCATGCAAATATTTTGGGGAGAGTAATTTGATATTACATATCAAAATTTAAATTTGCATACTATACAACCTAGCAATTTTATATCTAGAAGTCTAACCTACAGAAGAAGAGAGCAAAAATACATAGATATACACGCAGGAATATTTACTGATAAATTATTTGTGATAGCAAAATCTGATAAACAAAATGTTAATCAGTGTGAAAATAGTTAAATTTAGCATAATAACCTAACAGGATGCTATCTATTCATTACAAGAATGAAATAAACATACACGTACTGTTAAGAGATCACATTTTGAAAAGAAGTCAATGATACTTGTGTGTGTGTGTGTGTGTGTGTGTGTATCAACTCAGAAGATCATGTACTGGATTGCTAATAGCAAGCATGTTAGAATGCTACCCTTTGATAATGAAGCTTAAAAAGATGAGCCTTTCATATCTATAAATACATAAGAAACCAGAAGGCTGGGAATATAGCTCAGTGGTAGGGTGTTTGCCTAGTATGCATGAAGACCTGTGTTCCATCCGCAGCAACCCACACAAAAATAAATAAATAAAAATAATGATTTCCATTTCTTAAAATGAACAAACAAACAAACAAACAAACAAACAAAAAAAACAGAAAAAACCAGCCAGGTATGATAGCACATGCCTGTAATCCCAGCAATTTGGGAAGCTAAGGCAGGAGGATTGCAAGTATGAGAACAGCCTCAGCAACTTGGTGAGACTCTTGTTTCTAAATAAAAAATAAAAAGGACTTGGGTTGTAGCTCAGTAGTAAAGTGTCCCTCATTCAATCCCTGGTATAGGAGAGAGAGAAACAGGGAAGGGAGACAGAGAGGGAGGGAAACAAAATCTGAAAAAAAATAAAAAGAAAAAGGAAAAGAAAAAAGGATATTGCTCATTGTCTGGCTAAATTACCCATGATAAATGCTAGTTCATAAATACGTTACTGACTAGAAGGCATCTCCCAAAGCTCCATCAGTGGGAATAAAATATAATTAATCCAAGCGAAGCTATGATATGCTGTGAGTTTTCACAGCACCTGGATTACGCTGTACAAAGATTGCCTGATTAGGGGTCCATCCCTACTCTGCACAGATAAGTTCCTTTATGTAGGAATCATTTTTAATTTGTATCTAAGCCTAGAACACTCTGGACATAAGGTAGGTATTTAGGTGACTGATGAATGCGTAACTGAGAGAGTTTAATTAACTGTACACTTCTCCAGGAAACACTGAAATAGAAGACAATGGATTGGAACTTCCCTGGGCCAGGAAGTCCACGCCAGCATGTCCTTCATGCTCTCTGGAGGAAGGAGGTACTCAAATTCTAGTGCAAGCATCCATTATTGAGACAAAAAGACACTTGAACAGAGAAGAGAACTTTGTCATGTTACCATCATCGATTAAAACACCCTTAGGAACGTGAAACTTCACCTTCAGTGCTGGCTATGTAACCTTTTTTTTTTTTAAACCAACATTTTTCTCTTTTTACTGAACAGATCTACTAAGAAAGTGTGCTCTGGGCGAAATACACAGGCTAGTACCAGTTACACTGCCAGACAGAACTCCTCTCATCAGTTTCTCTGTTCTGAATGACTGTACAGAGTCTGATGATCCTTGTGAAATGACACAGTGCCTTCCTCCTACTAGCAACGTGTGAGGTTCCGAAGCCTCATGGACCCCAATCTCACATCAACTCACTTCTTACGGGCCCCTTGCCACCTTTGTCGTTGGTTGTTTCTTCATCAAACTTTGGATTGTTCAGCAAATTGTGTACTCCAAGGACAGCTAAAAACAAAGACAACAATGAATGAGCATTAAGTTTGGAGAAGCATGTTAGGACATTCATGGTGTTAATTTGCTCCTTGAAGAACAGTTCTTTAGATCATGAAGATAAGTCTCTAGGTTCCCTTTACTTGCACAGTGTGTGGTATATGTAAAGTGCTAAAGAAACTTATTTTAAAAACCCTCCTTCCATGACTACCAGGGAGCTTAAATGTCTTTCTATATCTAAATGTGTAAAATCATTTCGAGTCTGAGAAACAATGGTCTACTTATGTTCCCTAATCACTAAATAACTGTTTGGATCCCCTAGTTAAGTAGACTCAACCATTCTGTTTTCTATCTGCAAAATGAGAATGTGGGACTGAGTCTCAGGATTTTGAAGATCTAATATTATATAGATTATTGCATATATCTTTCCAGAGGCAAAAACAGAAAGATAGAGACTCTCTTTTAGCATAAGCCTCCCTATCTCTCAGTGCTAAAAGAAGTTGTTCTTTCCCCACCTTCAATCAGTGTTCCTTGGTGGGACATAAAAGTGACACCAGCAATAAAAGGTCAGTTAAGCATTCTGTTAGTCTCCTGTATTACACAGAATGTGCACTAGGAGGCAGCACACCATGTAAGAAGCCACCCTGGGGCAGATGAGTGAGGCAGGCCAAAGCTAGCGAAAATACAAGAGAGAAGCAGAGGAGTGCCTGAGATTCTCATCAGTCATATTGTAAGCTGCAAAGGAGGGAGGCGGCCAGCACAGCACACAGAAGGGCAAATGGTTAGCACCAACAAGAATAAGAATTAAGGGCTGGGGTATGGCTCGGAGGTGGAACATTAAGCTTTGAGCTCAATCCCTAACACTGTAAAAAAAGAAAAAGGAAAAAAAAAGTGAAAATTGGAAACAAATAAATAAATAAATATAGTTAAAGGGACTCCAGAGCAGTCAGAGTTTGAGTCCTAACTTTGTCACATATTGTGTGATTGGGAAGTTACTAAATACCTATTTTCTCATTTCTAAAATAGAGATAATGATTATACTTTATCTATTATAAGGATTACATGACTTCCTCTTATGTGTCAGTCACTGCTCTACATGCTTTGCAAATTCTTGCTAAATAAATAAATAATTTGTTACCATGGCTCTGGCATTGTCTTAGGGAGATGTCCTTTTAGTAAATACAACCCACTGAGATCATACAACAAACACTCCTTCTTGCTCTAGCCCTATACTCACCAAGGAACTTCTACTTATAATTTGTGTCCCATTTCCAAATTTTATTTATTTAGTGATTAAAAGATGAGTTTTCAGGGTTGAGTGTGTAAGAGTGCTTATCTAGCATGTGTGAGGCCCTGGGTTCAAAACCTAGAGCCAGGAAAAAAAAAAAAAGATGGAGTCTCACTATGTTGTCTGGCTAGCTCTGAACTCCTAGGCTCCAGTGATCCTACTGTCTCAGCCTCCCTAGCAGTTGGGACTACAGGTGCTCACCAACACACCCAGCAGAAGTTTTAATTTTTGTTTTAGCTGTTTCCTATCAATCTGGCTAACAGGTCAGTTCTCATCACCCTACTCTAATCTGACTGCTTCTATGTATACTAACAAAACCAAATCTCTAGAACAGCAGGACTGAGAACTAGATTCTGGGCACTGACCACATGAGATATGGCCAAGAACGGGAGGCAAAGTCTTAAGAGATCTTTTGACCTTTCCTTCCTGCTCTGTATCTGCCACAATAATATGGGCAATGCACTAACACTTTTTCTTATCTAAACCTGACTGTTTGTCAGTCCATACACTCCTGGAGCTGCTATTAGTCTTTTGGAAGATTGACCCAAGAGAAGATGCTGCCAACCACCCAGCCAGGCTTCCTCTTGAGTTCCTGGGGAGCATGTGATGATGGACCAAGGCTGAGTCAGGATAAACAGGGACAGTTGTCTATGTGGATAATCTCTCTGGTTTTACCGTATGGATTTCAGGATCTAGAATTTTCCAAATGATTGGTGTTTTTCCCTTTCTCCTTTCTCAGGCATTTTCTGGGAATAGAAGTCCTGCCCTACATTCTCCCTTTGGGCAATTCCAGTAGAGACTATGAGACAACCCTTAGGAGGAGCAGTAACCATGATAGGATTTCTCCATAGTAACCACAGGGCTAAGACGACCAGTTACTGCAAAGCACCTTCTTCATCAGGAAATGCAGGTGCCTCATCTTCTGTAGAGACCTCTGAGGGGTTCACAGTGATGACCTTTGTATCAACAGCTGACATCATCACAGAAGAAATGAAAATGTGGCTGAGATGGTGGCATGTATTAGAGAAAGGCATAGCTGGCTCTGCTGGGAGGAAGATGATTATTATATATGTCTTCTAGGAAAATAAAAATAATTCTTGCAGTGGACTGTTTTTTTAATTAACTTTTAAATTTGTTTTAATTAGTTATACATGACAGTAAAATGCATTTATGCACTTTGATATATCATACATAGACGGAATATAATTTTTCATTTTTCTGAGTGTACATGTTGCAGATCATATTGGTCATATAGTCACATATATACATAAATTAATAACGTCTGTTTCATTCTACTATGTTTTCTATCCCCACATTACTTCCCTTCCCCTCCCTTCACTTCTCTCTAACCTAATCTAAGGTAACACTATTCTTCTCTAGTGCCCTCTACCTCATTGTGAATTAGCATCTGTATATTAGAGAAAACATTTGGCCTTTGGTTTTTGGGGATTGGCTTATTTTGCTTAGCATGATATTCTCCAACTCCATCCATTTACTGGCAACGGTCATAATTTCACTCCTCCTTAAAGCTGAGTAATATTCCATTGAGTACATATGCCACATTTTCTTTATCTGTTCATCTATTGAAGGACACTTAGGTTGGTTCCATAGTTTAGCTATTGTGAATTGAGCTGCTATGATCATTGATGTGGCTGCATTACTGTGTTATGCTGATTTGAAGTCCTTTGGGTATAAACCAAGCAGTGGGATATCTGGGTCAAATGGTGGTTCCATTCCCAGTTTTCTGAGGAATCTCCATACTGCTTTCCATAGTGGTTGCACCAATTTGCAGTCCTACAAGTATACCTTTTTCCCAACATCCTCATCAACATTTATTGTTTCCTGTATTCTTGATGATTGCCATTCTGAGTGAGATGAAATCTTAGAGTAGTTTTGATTTGCATTTCTCTAATTGATAGATATGTCACTTTTTCATATATTTGTTGGTCGATTGTATTTCTTCTTCTGTGAAGTGTCTGTTCAGTTCCAATGCCCATTTATGGATCGAGTTACTTATTTTGGGGGGTTCAGTTTTTGAGTTCTTTATATATGCTAAAGATTAATGCTTTAGCAGAGGTGCATGTGATAAAGATTTTCTCCCAATCTGTAGGCTCTCTCCTCACGTTATTGTTTCTTTTTTTTTTTTTAAGAGAGAGAGAGAGAGAGAGAATTTTTTTAATATTTATTTTTTAGTTTTCGGCGGACACAACATCTTTGTTTGTATGTGGTGCTGAGGATCGAACCCGGGCCGCACGCATGCCAGGCGAGCATACTACCGCTTGAGCCACATCCCCAGCCCATGTTATTGTTTCTTTTCCAAGAATAATCTTTTTAATTTGAATCCATCCCACTTATTGATTCTTGATTTTACTTCTTGTGCTTTAGGGGTCTTGTTAAGAAAGTCAGATGCTAGGCCGGCATGGTGAAGACTTGGGCCTACTTTTTCTTCTATTAGGCACAGGGTCTCTGTTCTAGTGCCTAAGTCTTTGAGCCACTTTGAGTGGACTGATTTTCAAGGCACCTTTCCCTTTGGTGCCCTAATAACACTGTGTGTGTGTGTGTGTGTGTGTGTGTGTGTGTGTGTGTGTGTATTTGGAGGAGACTTAATGTACAAAAATGCTAGTATATGCAAGAAATCTTTCATTTTAATTTTTCATTGTTTTTAAAGAGACAGGGTCTTGTTGTGTTGTGCAGGTTGGCATAGCTCCTGAGCTCAAGTGATCCTCCTACTCAGCCTCCTACAGCAGAAAATCTTTCTGAAATGGGAAAGGGTATAGGTAATTGGAGTGAAAGATTTACTTTCCATTATATTTCTTTTGTACTATTTGAGCTTTTACTGTCTGCATATAAAATCAATTAAAATAATAATTATCATTATCCTGTTTCTAGTGTTGAGAAAATGAGAAGGCAAAGAGATCTTGGCATGAATCAAGATGGATTGGTGACTATGTGGAAGAGCAAGACCTCCATGGAAATTTCGTGATTACAAAATGTGATAAAACTCAATAACATGCAAAATGTGAACACTCCTTGGAAGGCATAAAGGCTGTCCTTTAGTTCTTTAAGTTCTCAACCCACCTTCACAGTTGTTTTCTGATTTCTCATAGTAACTTGAGTTTTATAGGATGGGTATTATTTGGGCATTTTACAGAGAGTTAGAGCAAAATCAGATTTTCTCATGGAGATGAAATCACTGCATCAGGTCCTACAGCTACATAATGGCCGGAGTCAACCTGGTGACATAATAATACTCAGCAGCTATGGAGAAGCTCAAAGCCTGCTGCCAGGAGTACCATTGCATACCAGAGGTCATAGGGCCAGAGCTGAGGCTCACCTGCAAGGTCGTAAAGCTCAGTATCAGAGGCGCTGGCCAAGGCTTCTTCCAGTTCTGGATCCAGGGTCACCTTTTCTTCTTTACGAGTTTCTACAGGCTTTTCTTTGGGAATGAAGACTCTTCCTTTAAATCAGAAGGGAAAAAAAATGTTGTGTGATACTCCCTTATTGGTAGGGTAAGTGGATTGAGCAAAAAGTGCAGTTGTGGCCATTAAGACCTGTATTATTAAGTTATTTCATAACCAACTGAGACTGCTGAATCTCTAGACAGTCAATAATCTACCATTAGACACAAGGAATATTAGAGGAGGAATCCTGTATTAAGTCACACAGAAATTTGAAAAATAGTTCTTAAACACTGAGGAAAAAGATGGCTTCTACTTGCCTATCATCTGTAGCACTGCCTTAGGCAGGGGGAGCCCTGTTCTGGGCTCTGCACCTTCGAAGGCCCCTCTCCAGTCTTCTTCTGACTACATCTCTCCCTACCAAGAATCCATGAGGCCAAAGGGACATTCCCATCCAGAATGCTAGTCCACACTGCAGGCCTCTTGGATCTTGACATTCCCTGTTCCCAAAGTCCTGAGCCTGCTTCCATGGGCTCCTGTCCATATCCATGTCCTTGATGGCAGCCCATGCTGCATTCCCAGACAATAAGAGGGCCCTTGGGGGAAGTATGGATGAAGCTTAAATGTGTGGGCCAGGGTGTGTACTTGAGGCGCTGGCAGCATAAAACAGCCTGATGTCCTGCATAGAATTTTTGTTAGTTCAAGAATTCTGGCCTTCTAGGTATATTAGGAGAATACATATATTTTAATGATTTGTTAGCTTTTTAAATGTTTGGGGAAAAAATGGCATGTGGGTCTATTCAAGTGTTTTTTTAAGAGAGAGAGAAAGAGAATTTTTTAATATTTATTTTTTAGTTTTCGGTGGACACAACATCTTTATTTTATTTTTTTATGTGGTCCTGAGGATCGAACCCAGCGCCCCGTGCATGCCAGGTGAGCACACTACCGCTTGAGCCATATCCCCAGCCCCTCTATTCATGTTTTTGCTTTGGACCTTGTAAATACTGGGGCAGGACCATCCAGACAGTACTAGGAACTGATGATCCCCCAGAGTTTTCCCTTTACATTTACATGGGGAGCTACAATTGTGATCAGCTGGACTAATACAGTGACCTGGGGACACAGTACATCAAACAAACCTGATTTTAGGGGAAAACCAGGGTCTCTATAATTACAGATGGGGATCTATGAGTAGCAAGGCGTTCCTTGCTTCCCATAGATGCACTCTCTGCCACCAGTTCCCATTTCAGCCTGTCACTCAGATTCCATTTATTACCACCCCTTACCTCAGAAAATGCCAATCTGTATTCTTTACTCTTTAGCCCAAACTTATGGATTGACAAATCACACTGCTGGAAGGATGGCACAGTACCTGCTCCTAACTTCCATCAGGCCAACATACCCACATCCCACATCCCACATATGCAAGGGCTGAAAGGTAAACCCAGGATATTCTAGAGCTACTGCTATCGCATACCCTAGACCCACCTGCATTCCCTTTCAGTTCTTCCCAGGTTTTGACTTGAGTCTTCATTCTTTTTCGGAGCTGCTCTGACTTCTTGGACATGATCTTTGAAACAGTCTCTTCCCTTTTGATCTTTAGAATCCCCTAAGACTCACCCCTCTATTGTCTTTGTCACCTTGGATAGAACAGACAACTGGCTCCAGTTTTAGCCAACTGGGACACAGACCCTTTCCAGGTCTCCCCAGCTGGCCTGGCCCATCTACTGCTATGGGAAAGGAAAGGTCAAACCCAAAGTTAATAACTCTCTCATGAAAACCTTCCAGGAGATTTCCTTGATCATAGGGGTTGAATATTTCCTTATTATTTACCATTTTATCAAACGACTGGATAAATGAATGGGAGCCAGAGCTGGGAACCCCAGAAGGGAAAGGAGGGAGCTGCTTGTGGCTGTCTGGGGCACCTTGGCAGCAGGGCCTCCATCACTGACATACATCCCGTTTATGGGAACCACATAGGCTGCCACCTGTCCCAGAAAGAAGGAAAAAATACTGGGGGACAAAGTGGGAACATGACCAGAAGATTAAAAAATGAAGAAATAAAGCAAACCAATCAATAACATCTCAGCCACTGGTGCTCATGGCAAACTTAATTTTCATAGTATCTGCAAGCCTGAAACATTTCCTTTTTGGTTCAGATGATTTTTTTTTTAAATTTCAGTTATAGATGGACACAATACCTTTATTTTATTTATGTTTACGTGGTGTTGAGGATCGAACCCAGCGCCTCACATGTGCTAGGCAAGCGCTCTACCACTGAGCCACAACCCTAGCCTCTCATATGATCTGCATATAGAGTCAAAACAGGTTTTCTAATTCTTTCTACCCAGTACTATTTAGGATTACCCTAAACATGAGGTATACAAGTGACCCAATAGTTACCAGTGTTCAGGGCAATGCTGATGCAGATCATTCCTGCACTGCAAGAGTTAAATCTGTACTGAAGCTGCACTGAAGAGTTAAATCTGGCCCCAGGACTCTAGGGGCAGCTTCCTTCAGGCTGCATCAGGAACTAAGGTGTGGATTTCTCCTGAGGACCTCACTTCCACCTCACATAGCCTCCTGCCACTCCTAGATGATTCTGCTCATCCTTCTGGGGGTACTGCATACTTCTTTCTGATCCCACCACTCTGTCTGGAAAACTTGCTCCCTGTTCATTTGAACTGTGCTACTTCCCATCCTTTTCAGCTGCAGTATGACTATACCCCCCTTTTATCCTTAGCTCCTGCATTCCTAACTCCCCATGATCCACCTGCAGCTTAATTTGGATCAAGAGATAATCTACCTTAGTGGCTCCTCAGACCTCTACTCCAGGAACAACAGGCAACAGCTTTCCTCTTATTATGCTGCCACTACCCTAATACTTGCTGTTTATTGGTGTTTTATCAAATATTTAACATTATAATTTTTTTTTTTTTTTTTACAATTCAATTAGTCCAATAGCAACTGTGGGGCTTCAGAAACAGCTCCACACTTCCACAATAATCTCTGGTTATTGATCCAGTTCTTCTACTGTTCAACTTTACTTTTTAAATGACATTCTAATAGTGTATGATCCATTAAATACGCACAATATGGAGGACAGCAGTACTGCTGACTCATGCCAACTGAGAAGATAGGTGCTCTGCTTTCCACTGCCTTGGTACAAAGGCTCAGAGATGGCAGTCACTTGAACCCACGCTTATCAAGTGCTCCCCTTGGGCTGATTTCTGTGCCAGGACACAAAATGACCCAGACCCACTGTGGAAATCTCAATCTGATGTGGAAAACACACCAAAGTAAATAAACAAAATGATGAATACTATCACAGTTCTGTGACAGCAATACCCAGATACCATGGTGGAATCAAGGGGACTATATCATCTAGAGAGCCTTAGGATATGAAAAGTGGGATATGGGTCAAAGGGAAGAGTCCATGAGAAGACAACTTGAGATGTAAAAGAACTGGGCAGGTTTGGGGAAGTGAACGCAGACAGTGATTGGGGCTGAAGCTTAGTTAGGAAGAAGAGATGCATTCTGACAGGGGGTGGAGTCTAGACCCACTGTGAAGATTGCAGTAAGGATCTGGGACTTAAAGCAGGAAAGTGATATGACCTGATTTGTATTTTAAAATACTCTAGTTACTATAGGATCACCAAAGAGACATGGGTCCAAGTGACTGACTGTACTTGAGGAAGCTGACAGGCAACTGATATCATACACTCTTCCTCCAAATGGGAGCTCAGGCTTGAAGCTAACAGTCTCCTTGTCTTGGCTCAGAGCTCAGCCTGGCGTGGAGATATATCCCCTTGCTCCTTACAGCTTTCCCAGCCCCATCTTCCCGAGGGCCATAAGTTCCTTAAGATCAGGGCTGGGTCTTAAGGCACCGGTAGTCCCAGTACTCGGTACCTGGCTCTGTATAGGGAAGGTTCTCAACAAATGCCAGATGAAGGAAGGAAGGACTGCACGAGCCTATCAGCATAGCTCTAAGATTAGGGGTGTGGTGCTACAGCCATCTTAGGCAGGGAGTGGAACGGCTTTGTGGGGGCTTCAGCAGTTAGTAAAGCACACCAGTGTCGCTGGAACACTCCATCAAGCTGTTTCACGTTTTCAAAACTTTTTCTTTGGAGTTAGATTTTTTTTCTCCATTGGACTAATTTGAGATCATCAAACCCTAAATATTCATTTAATTAGCTTGTACAGTCTGCCATGAATATTTTTCCTTTTAAACAAACTAATTTTAATTTTTAAAGCAGTTTTAAGTTCACAACCAAATTAAGCAGAAACTATAGTAATTCCACTATATCCCAAACCTTCCTACTAACAACATCCTGCACCACAGTGAAACATTTGTTATAACTGATCTATACGGACACATCATTATCACCTGAAGCCCATAATTTATCTTAGGGTTCACTCTTGGTGTTGTGCATTCTATGGGTTTGGGCAAATGTAGAATGGCACGTATCCACCAGCCACTGTTTTAAAATTCCACATGCAGTTCATGGGCTTACTTCCATTTCCAGGTCAGTTCCCTCACTTGACTCTCCATGGCAGTACGTTAAGAGTCCCTTTGACCCATGAGGTGCTGCTGTGGTCCTTACCTTTCTTTTCTCCAGTGAAGGGCACAAAATCCTCCCTGTCTTTCTGTTCCAAGGCCTCCTTTTCCAGGTACATGAGGAGGTGCTCGCGGTCAAACGGGCCGGTGGCTGCTTTCTGTGTCTGGTCTTTCTGTCGGAATCCAGCTGGCAGCATGGCACTCTGACAAAACAGAGGTGTGGGCAGGAAGAAAAGATATTTGCTGGACAGATACTTTGTTACTCACTCCCTCTTTCCTCCTTGCTGTATGTGGGGAAGCAGGGAGAAAGATACCTGGGCAGAGACCTGTGAGGACGGAGGGTTGGGGTCCCTGGGACATCTCCAAGGCCCTGCTTATTCTAATATCTTGTGCTGAGAGGAGGGCTCCCAAGGAGCTCAAGTACAGCAGAGATGCTGAAGCAGCCTCTGGGCCTTCTGCAGATGCCTTCTAGAATGGGTAACAAGGCCTCTTTCCTTTTTGATCATGCTTAGGTTTGGCTAGCTATGTACCCAAGATGCTCTCAGGCAGTTGTGTGGAGACTCTAATAAGAAGCCAACATGGCTGGCTACATTTGTAACCTCTCTCCAATGGAAGCATCTGGGCAGGTAAGTGGCTGTTATACTAGAGGTCAATACCTGTTTGATTAGGCCTTGAGATTTGTTACTTAAGTTTTACAAAATAAAACAAGACTGTACTTGTATTTTTTAAAGTGAAAACAAAGCCAGGCATGGTGGCACATGCCTATAATCTCAGTGACTTGATAGGCTGAGGCAAGAGGATCTCAAGTGCAAGGCCAGCCTCAGCAACAGAGCGAGACCCTATCTCAAAATAAAATAAAATGAAAATAATGTCCAAAGTATCTGATATATCAGAATATCATATAATTAATTTGTTATATTTTTATTTATAACAAAATCACTATTTTGAAAGTGTCTGATTTTAAGCTTAAGATAATACCATCAGTACCATCAATATAACAAGCTACTTAGCTTTTCTTTTGAAAATAAAAATATTAGAAGCTCCATTAAAATTTACTTGATATTATATAGTCATTCTAATCTATCAATTATTGTAGGATAATCAAATTATTCAAATTATTCATTTAAAAGAAATGAGATATAAAAATCTGCATATGGAATTAGAGACCTGTCTTAAATACTACCGCAGCAGACATTTCCTAGTCTGGGATCTTATTTATAATATCACCTATACAAGTCTGACTCTTCACTTATTAAAGGGAGATAATATGATTTATCTCAACAGATTCTGCACCTAGCAAAGTTGGTGACACATTGAAAAATCTCAGTATGAGGCCTTCATTGTACTGTAGTTACAGCTGGCTCTCGGTCCCCTCCCATGAAGGCTCCCAGTCGGCACAGTGCAAGACGGGGCTGGGCTGTCATCTTGTACTGTCATCTGCACACATTCTCATCACAAAAAAAAAGAAAAATCTCAGTATAATTTATCCTTTCTCCTTTTTTTTCTCTAAGTCTGATTACCATTTCTCCAACCATTTGAAAAGATTTTTCCTCATTTACATTAAACTGGTTTTTGAGAAATATATTTGGCAAATCTTAAATAGTGGCTATATGAGGTTCTCTATGAATTTTTTTTCCAGTACTGGGGAACCCAGGGGCACTCTACCACTGAGCTATATTCCCAGACCTTTTTATTTATTTTGAGACAAGGTCTCACTAAATTGCCAAGGCTGACCTCAAACTTGAATCCTCCTACCTCAGCATCTCGAGTATCAGGGACTACAGACATGTGCCTCTGCCTGGCTTCTCTATGAATTTGTAAAAGTGACCCAGAACCAACTGAAGAAAAGAAGATAGAATTTGCATTTGGAGTTGAGGGGTTTCTACTATTGTGCAGGGACCAAGCCATGCTATTTACCTTGTACTATTATTAGCCACTCCAGCTCCATGTCACTAACCTCAGGATCTAGGTCATCTAGAACATTTTCCAACTGTTTCAGTTCCTCTTCTGAGAGCTTGCCAAGAAGCTCATCTTCATCAATGTTCTTGTATTTCTCCAGCTCTTTTTGAAAGGGGAGTGCCATAGCTTCTTATATGCCTTTCTCATGGACCATGCACCTTGAAGTAGTCCAGCTTCCTGAGACTTCAGATTAGCACTAATAAAAGAGAAATACTGTTGTCTTCTTTCTGCAAACAGGATTTATTAACAGAAGACAGTGCTACATTGTCATTGTCATCTATGGAACAAATAATTCAAAGAAAAAGTAATATTACCTTCATCTGCATTCTCAGAGCAATGTGACAGCTTACAAGGTATTTTCATAAATAGTATATGATATATTTTTTTTTATCTTTACAACAATCCTGTGAGAAAACCTGCACAGATACTCGCATTCCCATTTTACAGATGATGACTCTGGGTGAAGGTGACCAAGTGCCTTGCCCAAGGTCATGAAGCTGGGATGTGTGTGCCTGGCCCTCTCATTCTCAGTGTAGTGAGTGCTTTCTCAACCTACTCGTTTGCCTCCCCAGCTTTCCATAGAAAAACAGTGGAGGAACAATACATCGATTGTAAAAGGCAGTTGTAAGAAGCATGCTTGTGTCTTTTCAGGGAGAGAGTGATGTAAAGAATACAAAATGGGACTCATTCAGGAAAGAGAGCTTGGAAGTCTATGTGAGAAAGCATTGTCCAGTAACTCCCCTGCAATCAAACTAAGTGAGAGTCTAAAACCATGGCCACACAATCACTCTCTACTTTTCTCTTTTCTCCTTTATCCCCCCATACCCTCCTCCCCAGTACTGGGGATGGAACCTAGAGAGGCTCTACTATTGAGCCACACCACCAGCCCTATTTTTATTTTTATTTTTTATATTTTGAGACAGAGTCTACTCAGCAGTAGAGTGTTTGCCTAGTATGTGCCAGACCTTGGGTTCAATCGCTAGCATTGCAAATAAACAAAAAAGACAAAATCTGCACATCTAGGCAAGTGTTCTACATATAAAGCTACTAAGACTCCTACTCTGATTAATATCTTTTTTTTTTAACCAGGGATTGAATCCAGATGCACTTAACCACTTATCTATATCCCCAGCCCATTTTATTTTTTTTATTTTGAGACAGGGTCTAGCTAAGTTGCTGAGGCTGGCTTTAAACTTGTGATCCTCCTGCCTCAGCCTTCCAAGAATCTGGGACCACAGGAATAAGTCTGGGACCACTGCACCTGTCTCTTTTCTCCTCTCTTTTACTTCCATTCTATTTCTATTCTCATTTCCTTTTTTTAAGCCACATTTCCTAATTCTTCTTACTTTATGCCCTTAGACTAGCCTCCTTTTAGCTACCTCCCTTTTTTTTATACCACCCAACTCCTAAACTCTCAATTAAAATGAAATTTTTACTCAGTCCCTTACAGAAGATTTTACAGAGCTTCCATAGAAGATAATTCTGCATTCAGGAAATAGTAATGCATTTAACTGATAGTGTTGATGCTGGTGAGGTAGATGGGTGATTAGAGAGGAGGGTTCATGGAAGGAAGGAGAGAAAAGAACCAAAGATAGGATGGGACATCTATAAAGGGGCTTCCTTAAGTTAAGAGACTCGGATCTTATTCTGCTGAAGCCCCCACAACTTTTAAAGTAGGGGAGTGTCCCAACATACCTGTTTGTTTTTAACAAGACAGTACAAAAGGAAAGAATGAAGAATGGGCTGCCATGGAAGAGACTGGTTGCAGGTAGGCCACTTAGGGGCCATTAGAATGTTGTCCCCTCCCCTTAATTCAACTGTTCACAATGGTCAGGTTTGTGGTTTCATATCCTTTCAACAAGAAATGTAGCTCTATCTTCCTTTGCCTTCCATTTTAAGCCTCAATGGCTATACTTCAGTAAAAAAATAAATGAAAGTCCTATGAAAGACAGAGAAACCAAATTGATCCCAGATACTTTGTTCTGGTGACAGCCATCACTAATTTATTGTATGATATGAGACATGCAATTCATCTGTGAGGCACTTACAAATCCAATGAGCTGGTTGAACTACCCTTCCTAAAGGACTCTTAAGTTGCACAATATCACATTTACCATTCTGAAATTGAGAGCTGTTTTAGTTGATAAGGTGCTATAAACACTTCACCAGCAACAGTCAACATGTGTTTGTCACTGCCTGTATGTACATAAGCACCAAGAGTACCAGCCTCAAAATAAGCACATTGGGGACCAGGGTTGTGGCTCAGCGGTAGAGTGCTTGCCTAGCACATACAAGGTTCGATCTTCAGCACCACATAGAAAGAAATAAATAAAATAAAGGTATTGTGTCCAACAACAACTAATATATATATATGTATACATACATATATATGTATGTGTGTATGTATATATATGTATACACACACACACACACACACACACACACACACACACACACACATATATATATATATATATTTTTTTTAAAAAGACCACATTGGGTATCAGGGATCTGGAAGGAAACCCCAGGAGCACCTGTGGAACATTCTTTTAAAACCTAGGAAGCAAGGCCTCGGGGGAGGTGGCAATGAAGGTGTGTTTAGTAGTACTCCCAAAGGAAGGTCTTATTTCCACATAATTACAGAGCAGGTTTAAGTGCCTAGGATCAATGATGTTTAGTTCTTTTACAGATTTTGCTGTTGCTGTTACCACTCTTAATGGCTCAGAAGAGAGACTGTTTGGAAAAAACAGACATTGAAAAGTGATTTTAAAAAAGTTGAACTCTGAACATGAAAAAGTTTTAAGAATATTGATGAATCCAGGACCGGAGGCACACGCCTATAATCTCAGCAGTTTGGGAGGTTGCTAACAAACCACTTTCCTGTCAAGAACTTACAATGGCTCCTTCTTGTCTACAAAATGGGATTCAGATAATCTAGCATCCAAAGCCCCCATAATTTGGTTTTAATCTGATCTTCCTGTTTTCTCTCCCATTACTTTCCTAGAGAGACCTCTGCTCCAGCCAAAGTGGTTTATCTGCTCTCTGTGGTAGGCAGAATTATGGATTCCTAAAAATGCTTAGACCCTAGGGCTGGGGTTGTAACTTAATAGTGAAGTGCTTGCCTTGCACATATGACATGCTGGATTCGATCATCAGCACCACATTAAAATAAATAAAGATATATGTTCATCTACAACCAAAAATATATATATATATTTTTTTTAATGTCCAGCCCCTAATTTCCAGTCCTGTGAGTATGGCTTTTCATAGCAAAAGAGACCAGGTGTGATAAAATAAAGAGTCTTAAAAAAGGAAGACTGTCCTGGATTATCTAGGTAATTATGAATCCCAAACTCTTAAAAGATGGAAAAGGAAGGCAGAAGAGTCAGACATCAAAATTTCATGACAGAAAGCAGAGAATCAGAATGATGCGATTTTTGGCTTTGAAGATACAGAATGGAGCCAGGAGCCCAGGAACATCCAGAAAGCAGTACAATCCTGACACTTTGATTTTAGCCCATTGAGATTCTTCCCCCCACCCCACTACCACCAGCAATTGAACCCAGGGGCACTTAACCACTGAGCCACATCCCCAGCCCTTTTTATCTTGAGACAGATAGACTTGCTTAGGGTCTCACTAAGTTGCTTAGGACCTCACTAAATTGCTGAGGCTGGCTTTGAACTCATGATCCTCCTGCCTCAGTCTTCTGAGTTGCTGGGATCACAGGCATGTGTCACTATGCCTGGCTCCCACTGAGACTCTTCTAATTTCTAAAATGGTGTAAGACAATAAATTAGTGCTGAATTTGTGCTTAGTTACTGAATTATAAGTCACTGAATTTGTGCTTAGTTACAGCAGCAATAAAACAATTAGTATACTGGAACTGGGGTTGAGGCTCAGTGGTAGAGCATTTGCCTGGCATATGCGAGGCACTGGGTTCGATTTTCAGCACTGCATATAAATAAATAAAATAAAGGTCCATTGACAACTAAAAAATATTTAAAAACAAAACCAGTACACTCTAATCTAAACCCCTCCATTTCCAAGTGAATTGTTTTGGATTGCTTTTGTTTGCCCCTCCATATCAACTCCCCACCCTGTTCTGTGCCTCAGGAACAGTATTGTTAGATAGCATCAATGGGTTCCTGTCCTTTCTGGCTTCTATTTGGCCAACAGAGACATCAGCAGGGAACTGGAGGGCAGGAGGAGAAGGAGGTGGGGTCCAGAAGGTCACATCCCCCCACTGCTCTCCATTGCTGCTTTGAGGCCTTGGGGTGGTGAAGGGTCTCTACTGTCTGGTGCCAGAATTCTGCCTTGCTGCATTCCCTCAACCCTCTCCACATCATTGTAAATAGTCTCTTTATTAAAAATTTCTCAAGTCATTCCGTTTGAGTGTGTCCTCTGTTTCTTGTTGGGAAATTGGCATATATAGCTCTATTACTTGGAATGCCCTTTATTCTCATGGCCTATCTGTGTGCTTTGCTTTTGTGACCTGGCTCAGATCCTAGCTCTGCAGGACCACAGAATGTCAGAGCTAAGCCAGGTCTTGGACCACCCAATCCAGCAACCTGGTTGTTTTCCTCCTATTCCTCTGGTCTCTTTTCATAATTCTTCTTCCTCTACCTTAAATACTGGCATTCCTCAAAGTCTTGTCTAAGGGATTCTTTTCTCATATTACTCATCTGTCCCTGAAGTTTTAACTGATACCCTGAAGACTCCAAAATCCATATCTTCATCCTAGACTTTGTTCTTGAGGACCAGACCCACATATCTCCAACTTAAAATCCTCCCACTGCCTTGTGAGTAAGGTCCAAATTCACAGTCTGACTTCTGTCATCCTGATCAGCCTCTTCCGCCCTTACTCCCCATCTCTTCCTGGATCCAGCCTCCTGGACCACTTCCAATTCCTCTGCTCAGAGCAGTCCCACTCCTTCTCCTCTGGTCTCCTCTTTCTTATGCTCAGTATGAGCTTCATTTCCTCCTTCAGACCCCTACACAAGATCTGGGTCATTCCCTACCACATGGCTCCCTTCTGATTACAGCTGTCCTTGGCTTTATTAGAATCACATGTTTTATCTCTGTTTTCTTTACTAATCTCTGTGAGGGGAGTACTATATCATATTTAATCACTGATAAATATTAACTCCCAACACGAGTCTTGACCCACAGTAGGCATCCAGTAAATATTGTGCAAC